AAACTCCGTTAGATCCCCAAATGCACTTGACGAAGAACTCAGGGGAAGCGGTTTCACAAAATGAGTATGCACGTGTGATTGGAAGTCTCATGTACTTGACCAATTGCACAAGACCAGATCTAGCGCATGCAGTAAACGTACTGAGTCGATATACAAGTAATCCAGGTCATACACATTGGAAAGCTATAACGAGAGTACTTAATTACCTGCGCTACACCAAAGATTTTGGGCTTCACTATGGTAAAGAACCAGCAGTTTTAGAAGGATACAGTGACGCTAACTGGATATCAGATTCTAAAAACTCAAAATCCACAAGTGGATATGTCTTTATACTAGGAGGAGCAGCAATATCATGGAAATCTACAAAACAAATAGTTCTAGCCAGATCCACCATGGAATCTGAGTTCATAGCCTTAGACAAAGCTGCAGAAGAAGCTGAATGGCTTAGAAATTTTTTGGAAGATATTCCTATGTGGGAGAAACCTGTGCCAGCTATACGCATACATAGTGATAGTCAATCTGCTATAGCTCGGGATCAGAATAATCTCTACAATGGTAAATCTCGTCACATCAGAAGACGACATAAAACCATTAGACAACTTATCTCAACTGGTGTAATCACAATAGACTACATCAAATCAGCTGACAACCTAGTGGATCCATTTACTAAAGGTTTGCCACGAGATATTGTTGCTAAAATCATCAAAAGGAATGGGTTTAAAGCCTATTACAAAAGAAGATGTTTGATTGCAACCCTACCTATCATGACTGGAGATCCCAAGACGTAGGTTCAAAGGGAAAACAAAATCAAACAAAATCTAACCAAAGCACTAGAGACAAAGTAGTCTCTTCCCAGCTCCTAAGATGATAAAAGTGCTACGAAATGTAAGGATAAGCATTAGCTTTTAATGATTCCATAGCTTCTAAAGCGAAGTATTACTCAATACTTTTCATGGTCAATCACCTAATGAGTGTGAAATGGGGCCGTTTCTAGGAGAATGAATGCAAGGCTATATTCTCTAAGTTCACTCATGAAAACCAGGAATAGTTCAGGGCCACAATGAACACAATAGAGAACTAAGTTCTACGAGAAAATGAAGCTGCGTTATGCATGTTGTCTCGGTCTACATAAAACACCGGTTGGTTCAAGACACCATGTTCACCTTCTGGTAAAGTAAACCCGACATATATTAACTATGAGTGGTTCAAGGCTTAAAAATGCCACCAACTCAAACACAGTGAATTTTTTGCAAACACTCTCGATAAGTCTGTCTAGTCTAGTAAGGATTAGAATAAATATTTTTATAGTCTATCGAGTCTGCATATAGTCTGCATATGTTTAGAGTCATTTCTATTCATGTGGGGGATTGTTGGATCAAAATAAAAAGCCCATTGGCTTTACATCAAATGTGAAAAGAAATGAATGGGCTACACAAAGCCCATACAAGTTGGAATGTCAACTTGACATCTCAATTATATCCCACATCGGGGAGAAGGAGAAGAAATGAGCAATATATATATGCTCACACATCTAAGCTTAGTAAACAGCTTGGAGAGAGAGAAGGACTTCCACGCGCGCGCCGCCGCCGTCCGGCCGGCTCGGCGTGGACTTGGGCTTGGGCTTGGGCTTGGGTTTGGGTTTGGGCTTGGGCTTGGGCTTGGGCTTTATTGGAGGGCCTTTGGCCTGATAAGAAGTTATCTTTTTGGACCAAATGAAGCTCAAAGCCTTGCCATTTAAACTTCAAAAAACAGCATGCAATTTTTTTTAAAACGACAAGTAGTTTGTCTAACAAATAAAAAAACGTCACGCAGTTTATCCTCTCAGATATTTAAACGAGAAAAGAGAGAGTCTTGCGGAAAAAGATTTCGCTACTCAACTTCCCTCGATCTCCGCGAGATTCTCGCCCACGTGCAGCAGTTGTTGCGGGAAGTGGCTCTCGTCTTTCTCTTTAAATAACCTCGCTTCTCTTCTTCATTCCTTAATCGTTTTTTAACACAGAAAAAATCCAGCAATCTCTCAGCGTAAGTTTTCAGAGAGTGTTCATAGAATTTAGTTCGTTAGGTCGTTTCACGAGTGAAGCGTGATTCGTCTGCCATGGTTGTATCCTGGGACTCAATATTCGTACAGTTTCGTCTCACTACGGAGCGAATATTAAGAGTTAAGGGAAGAGATTTATCTCGCCTCCGTGTCTCATATAATCGTTTCTTTCCTTAACTCCGTCTTTCTTATATCGTCTATGTCGATCCGGTTTTCCGACTTCTACAAAAAACAGTGACCGCAGTGCCCAAGTAAAGGCCATAGGAACCAACGCTTTGTCGCCTAATTGCCCCCATATTAAAATAGCTATGGTCACAATCGAGCTTTGCATAGCCATGATGTTAAATATCATGAAATAGGCGAGTTCAGGTTTATCTTCTAAAGCTGCCATGCCCAGTTTTTTTTCAGAGGCGTTAAATCCACCTGGTATAGTAAAACCTGCAGTAAACGTTACGGTTGCCACAAGAGCTGCAACCACCAAGAGAGTGTCGACGTAGTTGTTGGATTTTTCTCCCTCCAATGGCTTTGATGCTTTGGTTATCTTTTTCTGCCACGATTTCTTGATATGGGTGCTTAAAAGAATAGTAACACCATCAATGTCACCCTCTGTAATCCAAACAAGAGCGAAATGCCTATAAGTGGTCAACAAGACACATAAAAATTGAAATCTATATAGTTGATGTGGGTTCAAATGATTTGGGCTTAACCCAAAAAGATGTATGGGGTTTCCGGGCCATAACCTCTAGAAATTAAAAAACACTTGGGAAATCAGAGATACCTCCATGAAAATGTAGTTGTCTTTCATAGTTTTCTCAGCGATATCCAGAGCTGTGAAACCAACATTGTTCTGTACGTATAACCATTTTGTCTTGGTCATGAGTAATAGGACATATAGCGTACGAGGGTGCCAGTTTATAGTAGCTTCGTGCAGAGGTGAGTTCCCGTCCTTATCTTGCTTCTCCACAAGCGTATCGATCCAACTAGTTACCCAGAGATAACTAAAAAGAAAAAGTGAACATATCCCACCACTCTTTGTTGCAATATGAACAATGTTCTGACCTTTTTTGTTTAGCAGGTGTTTTGAATTTGGAAAACGTTTTAGAAACAAGAAAACAACTCTCATGTGACGTTTCTAAACAGCAATGTGGATGGGGAAGGATCCGTCATCATTCCATACATAAACACCGTTTTCCCATTGGTCTAGCAAGATGCTTACTCCTTGATAATATCCCTCGGATGCTGCAAACCAAAGACATGTCCTTCCTTCTTTATCTCGCTCATCAACAAGACTTGGATATTCTTTTAGCAAAAATTCAAGGGTATCTGCTCAAACAAGTCGGAACACATAAATTACTAGCACTTATAAAAACAAATTGCAACTGATAATGTGTCGGAAGGCCAAAAACAAACCTGGACTCCTAGCCCTCAAGGCCGCGTGTAAAAGATATCTTCTTCCTTCCAAATGTGAATCTATGTCAACATATCTTCGTCCAAACTGCTTCTTTTAAGTACTCCTCCAGACGTTCTTTATCCCCCGCGCAAACTGCAGTAAAGATCTGTGGATCTATCTGCACAGATTCACTAGGGAGGTTAAAAACATCTGAAACCCTGAGGTTGGTAAGGTAATCTGGCACAGATTCCGTTTCTCCCATTCCTTCGATTTGAAGGAGACCTAGTGACCATAGCCCGCACTTTATCAGGTTCATGGGGAAGTAACTTCGTTTCCTTTGACCATGAGAGACAACCACTGACCTCTGAGCCTCCATTCTATCTATGCCAGCTTCTTCAGAACTGCCCATCTCAAAAAACCTAAGACAGAAAAATCAAAACATATCGCGTGAAACATAGTTACTAGTAGAAGCTGTTACTAGTTGAGAGGTTTTTCATATTATATACTAGATGACAGGTTACCTTTTACTATTTTGCGAGTAATTTAATAGGCAACCAATTATAAAATAGTTTTGGATTCAAACTGAGGTTGTGTGGTCTACTATATTGGTTTTCAAATTATAAACGCAATATACAAAATGTTTCTTGGCCTGGGACATGGGACATTAATATTAAAAATATTAACATTCCCCCTAAGAAAATATAAAGAGACAAAAAATTAAGAAACCTGTAAAAGTTCTTGGCAACGAACAAGAAAATTCCTCCCTTGATCAATGCAGCATGAAATCCTCACTATTTATAAAAAAAAAGCAGAAATGTGAAAAATGTGTCTCCCAGCAGCTGAAATGTGAAAAACGTTTTCCCCAGCAGCAGATATGTGAAGAAAGGTATTATCTGTTCCTGCTTTATGTGAAGCAGATCTCCAAGATGCATCAACATAACCAGAATGAGTTTCTCTAGGTTGAGTAGTATGAAGTTGTATCCCTCGAACACCATTCGTAGAGTACACTCTCTAAATAAAATGTTTATAATTCGATCACATCTATACCAGTCTAGAAAACCTTTTATCAAAAACAAAAAAAAATATATACCAGTAAGAAAATCGTATATTTAAGCATATTTTAATTTTTAAATAAAACATTATAAAGCATATTTGATTTTGATTTTAAATAGATTTTTTTATTAATTATGACATCTTAATTACTAACAGAGATTCAACATTTTTAAATAATTAAATAAAAATGAAAATGTGCTTAAAATAAGCGACTTTCTTAATCATATAAATATGGTCAAATTATAATACTTTATTTAGAGAATTTACTTTACGAAAATTTTATATTATTTTTATATTAATTTTTTAATTTTTATTTTTAAAGTGTAACTTTACATAATGAAATGTAACTTTTAATTTAGATTTTATGTATATGCCTTAGAGCATCTTTATCCCACAACCCCCTCTGGTATTGTTTTTTTTTTCCGTCTGATTAAAGAAAAACGAACCAATGGCAAACCGCCACATGTTAATGGGATCCACAAACAGTATAAAATATTTTTATGAATATTTTGAAAATCTTAGTTTAGTTATATTAAAAAATTGAAAAATATTCTGAAAATAAAGATCTAAAATACAAAATACTCAAAAATATTCAATTTGCTTTCAAAATACTTGAAAATATCAAAAGATATCAAAATATCTAAAAATACTCAAAAATCACCAAATATACTCTAACTACCTGTTTATTCTTCCAAATATCCAAACCGGATCAAATTTCATGTCAATTTTAGATATTTAGTATGAGAAAAAATTATATGTTTACATTATTTTATTTTTGGATTTGAGTTTTTAATGTATATCTATATTATTAACACTGAAGTACCTTTTAGTAATGTTTGGAAATAAGGATAGCAAAATAAATGAAACATTGTTTGGAAATATGGATAGTAGATTAAGTATTTTCTTTTATTTGTACATTTAGCCATTGTATTTACAATAAATTAAATACTTTCATTTTGTATTTCTTTTTATTTACAGATTATGTCATTGCATTTAAAATCAGTATAAGTTAATTAATTTCAGTGATTTTTCTTTCTCTGTGATGAAAATAAAAACACAAACCGAAATATATAGTATACATTATATAAAATAATTTTTAAATATATATATGACCTTATTTAATTTAGTCAAATATAAAATTGTGTGAGTTCAATTTAAAAAAATATCATAAAATTAATGATAATTCATAGAAAACTAATTAAAAATAAAATAATTTTTAGTATGTTGTTTTATTTTAAAATAAATTAACAAAAAAACAACCTGTTAGTATATGAATAGTACGATTACATCAAATTGCATCATGTTATAAAATTTCTAATATATTACTATGTACAAATAAAAATTATTATTAAATATTTATATTATAAAATAATATATTTTACTTTATATGTAAATTACAAAACATAAAAAAAAATTTGTAAAAAACCAACGGTTTATGAATTTACGTTAAACACAAGTTAAATCAAACACCCGCACGGGGGTGCGGGTCAAGTTCTAGTTTGGCTTAAGTCTTAAGTCATTTGCACTTCAATACTTAAGTCTTAATTAGAATAGAAACTTTGGCTTAATACTTAAGCCACTTGCACTTTAATATACAATTTTAACTTAAATAAAAATAAATTTAATATTACTCTTACTGTCTTAAAATTTAATACGAATTGTCTCATTGTTGAGCTGACTAAATTTGTAAGACCATAACTAATCCGGGATTCTTATGATGGAGTTTTTAGCGGAAGTTAAGAAACTGTTTCTTAAGTTTTAACTAAAAAAGCTAAGAATCGGTTCTTAAAGTCCTTATTTAAGAACTGGTTCAGTCCTTATTTAAGAACCGGTTCTTAGTTTTTTTAGTTAAAAGTTAAGAAATAGTTTCTTAATTTCCACTAAGAACCCCATCCTAAAAACCTCGGATTAATCATTCTCTAAGATTATTATGAATCGCCTAGGTGTCTTACAGTGATGATTTTGTTAACTTTGAAAAAGGGATGATGAAATTTTTTTTCTTTTTAAGAATGAACTTTCAGTTAAGATCCAAAAATTATTATTACGTTATGACATTGAGGTCATATATATTTCAAAAGGTTAGTTATAAGATAATGGGAATCAAATCCTTTGAAAAAATAATATGGATGATTGGTTGAATTGTAGCTACCTGTAAATAATGTTGTATAATTTAATCTGTAATTTTTTTTGTTTAGTTGTATTGAGAGGTGTAGCTGTAAAAATTAATTAAGAAGAGAAGATAAAATGAAATAATATTCCCACAACAATTATTTTTCCTACAGTTTAGTAAATAATGTTTACAAAATAAGGTTTTTATTTTACCAAAAAAAATTAAAAGGTTTTTACAACTATTTTTTTTTTGGTTTTAACTATAAAAATAAATAAAGAATGCTTGGTGATTTTTGTAACTGTAAATAGAAATTAAATCTAAATACACTTGTTACAGTCGTTTATCTTCCTCAATGAGAACTCAACTATAAATAAAAAATAGAAATGTAGAAAAGAGGATAACGATACCCAAGAGATAAATTTCTAGGAACTTCTAAGATTGTATTTTTATTAGTCGTATATTGCTTGAAATATTACCAAATAATTGTATAGGAAACATAAAAGGAGAAAATTAGAGTGGTATATATGCCTTGTTAGGAAATACATTAGGCGTGTAAAACGTTCGGTTGGATAGCGCCTAACGTGCGAATCTATTAATCAGAAATTATACGAAGATTAATCGAGCGTTATTTTAAGACTATTTATACTTTTAGGTATATATATTCATATGTAAACAAATTACTATGAAGTTACGTTAGCATAATGGTTTAAGTGATAAGTGATAATTGCTATTGAAAATAGGACTTTTGTGGAAGCAAACGCTCAAATCAACTTTTTTAACTAATCTAACCAACTCGTCGCCACTTTCTGTATTTCCACGGTTGACACAATAAAAACTCGTTTCACCGCCTAGACCAACCGAATAGTACCAACTCGGTACGGCCACCCTACGCTGCACTCGGCCGATTACGCGTTAACTTCGAACAAGGTATATACGTAACAAGTTATTCATACGTAATAGTAGATCTTCATTATGTACAATTGTCTCCTTTTTTTTGAACTTCTTAGTACATTGTCAAATGTCTCTTAAATAAAGCCTAACTATAGAGACGTAGCTAACAAGTAAGCTTAGAGATTTCCCATTCCCTTAGAGTAAGCTACATAAAGGTTTGGTAGATGGAACTCGTAGAAGGTGCCGGCCCATTTAATCAAGCTACAAATTACTAAAGGGATCACAAATTTGCGATAGATCGTAACATCGTATGACACTATAAATCTATACTATTATTTGCGAAGTGACTTCTTGCAACGGAGCTTCCACTTTAAAAGTTACTAGATTTTGACCCGCGCTTAAAAGCGCGAAAATTTTTTATAACTAAAATTTATATAATTGGGTTATGTCTTAATTTAAAGAATGTTTTGGTTTAAAATCAGTTTATCAAAATTTGTGGTGACGATTTTTTTCATTAGTTTTTAGTTTCAGTTTCTATTTTAAGATTTTGGTTTTTAGTTTATAAGTTTCTAATTTTGATTTTCAGCTTTTGTTTGGGTTTTTAATTTTTAGATCCGCTGGGTTAGTTTGAACTGATATAACCAACAAACAAATTTCAAATAATCGAACATCTAATTTAAAACTGAAAAGATGACAAAATGTTTTTAAAAAAAAATTGCAATAGTTTATTTTGTAAATAAACAAAAGCAAAAACTATAACAATATGTTATCCAGAACAGTGAGTTTTCAGCTTTTGGTTTTGGGTTTTAGTTTTTAGAATTGGTTTTTGGTTTTGCTTTACATTTATTTTTTTAAATCAGTAAATTATTTAAGAAAAATAAAACAATAAATTATTTAAAATTTACCATTGAAATTTATCAAAAAAGTGATTGTTATTTAAAATAAAAAATACAATAACATGTTTTAAAGTACATGACTTAAATAAATGATTAATAATAGACAATTTTGTTTTGTTAAAAATATTAAATACATTTGGGCCTGAAAATAATAATTGATTTTTTGATCCATTAAGATAGAAATTTTATTCAATGTTTTTTGGAGTTTTTCATTAATAGTAAGCCTAAAAATCAAACCATATAATTTGTCCTAAAACAAAAGTAAGCCCAAGACTACATCCCATAAATAACCCTCGGTTTAATTTAAGTAATGCGATTCAATTAACTATATGGCTTGTTGTAACATTCTAGAAAAAGTCCAAATTTAAATGACAATTTGTATTAATAGATAAAAAGAAAGACTCTATTTTAATAGAGTAGATTTCCATTGGTTTCATATAATTATTAAATTTCCATTTTTTTAAGGAATTGTTAAGATGCTAAATGGTATATTACGATTTCCACATTAATATAATTAGTAGATTTCCATATTCTATATTTTGATAATATAAATTCTTTTAGAACATTCCATATTTTGAAGATACTTTACATTAAGGTCGCCATGTTACATTAATTGTGTTGGTTTAATTTAAGTAATGCGGTTCAATCAATTATAAGACTTATATTATTTGTAACACTCTAGAAATTGTCCAAATTTAAATGACAACTTGTATCAGTAGATAAAAATAATGTCTCTATTTTAATAGATTAGATAGTGACTAATATCGTTTATATCCTTAATGAAAATAATATCTAAATTACATACAAAATTAATAGTACAAACTCTATAAAAAAATATTCAATAAATTTAAACCCTATAAATTAATAAATTTTTACAGTTTCAAGTTGAAATAATTCAAATATGACACAAATAAAAAATAAAGTAAAAATAATTCTTTATTTTTTATATGTAAGCATGGTCTCATTAAACTTATAAATTAATAATTTATATGTATATCTATTTATATAGTATAAGTAATCCAATATATTATATGTTTTATATTTATAATGAAATTATTTTCATATTTCTTAACAATTAATATATATGGATGAGATTTAGTAAAATTATATCTAAAACCACATTTAAATTCTATGTAACATATTTTATATATAATAAATAATATAATAAAATCTCTATGAATAATGAATTTAAAAAATGATAAATTATATATACTATTTATTTTAGATACAAAAAGATTTTAAAGTGGAAAATAAAAAAAGTTGTAAATAAATAAGGGAAAATTTCATAAAAAATCATGAAGTTGGCAAAAGTTTGCACTTTAAACCTTGAGACTCAACTACTAACACTTTAGACAATGAAACTTGTAATAATAACATATTAAACATCGAACTAATTTATTTGTTGCACACGTAAAACTCGTGACCTGTTACTGTTCTCTAGCGGGTAAAAAATGGTGATGTGACGGTTTATTTAAAAAAAATAAAAAATAGAAACAAAAAAAATTAGATAAAAAATAAGTAAAATTAAAAAAATGATATAAATTCAGGAAAACTAAAGAAAATAAATTAATTAATCAAATAAAAAAAATACAAAAAATTATAAATTCAAAAGTTTATAAAAATAAATAGTAAAAATCGATTAAAAGTAACAAAAGAGTAAAAAAAATAGAAATTAAAAAAATTGTAAAAATCGATAAAAATTAGAAAACAGGAAATTTATAAAAATTTGGAAAAAAGAAAACTTCAAACATAAAATAAAAATAAAAAAAGATCGATAAAAATTAGGAAAATTAATAAATTCAGGGAACATAAAAATTAAAAAATTAAAAAAAATAAAATACTGAAATTGAAAACTAATAAAGATCAAGAAAAAATAAATTTATGAATTCAAGAAAATAATAATAATAACGAAAATAAATTATACAAATTGATTAAAAATTAAGGAAAAAAATCTGGATTTTGGGTCAAATACTTTTCATTTTATGTCTACCTAAACACCAAAGAGGTTTGGGTCAAGTACTTTTCATTTTCAATTTTAATATTTTGATATTTGAAATTTTATTTTTTTCCAGCTTTTTATAACTTCATATTTTCTATTTTTTTATCGATTTTTACACTTTTTTTTTATTAATTTCACTATTTTGTTAGTTTTAATCGATTTTTACAATTTATTTTTATTCTAAACTTTTAAATTTATAATTTATTTTTATTTTGTAAAATTTCTGAATTTTTTATTTTCTTATTCTTTTCCTGAATTTATATCAATTTTTAAAATTTTATTTATTTTTTTATCTAATTTTTTTTTGTTTTTATTATGTTTTTTTTTTTAAATAAACCGACACATCACCATTTTTTACCTGCTAGTAAACAGTAACAGGTCACAATTTTTACGTGTGCAACAAGTAAGTTAGTTCGATGTTTAATATGTTATTGTTACAAGTTTCATTGTTTAAAGTGTTAGCAGTTGAACCTCAAGGTTTAAAGTGCAAACTTTTGTCAATTTCATGATTTTTTATGCAATTTTTCCAAATAAATAACTCGTAAATTATTGAAATACCATAATCTCAACTTTATTAATTTAAAGAGTTTTTACCGAATTCATATTAAAGTCTACGGTATTGTGATCACTTCTATAATATAATTATATTTTCGGAAGAAAATCACTAGAATCAACAAAAAAACACCTAAAACAAGTCAGTTGATTTGGGAATTATGGTTGCGCTACTCGATATCGTCACTTCATAACAATGACGGGTCTACATTATATTGAAAAGGATTTATCATTTTGTTTACAACTACCCACATCTCAATCAATGAAAGTTGTAAAACAAGGTTGAATTCTAATATAAACCTGGAACTGAGATCGTCGAACATAGTGGTAACAATATCACAAAGTGATAGTACACTGTCATGTAAAAAATCGACCAGTGACTTGAAGCGAAAGCCACCTATGAGCACCCTATGAAACCTAACCAAAGAAGAGGGTTTGGCTGTAACAAGTGGCAAATTAATTTAAAAGCTCCAGAAAAACTACTATAAATACCCACAGCCTCACTACACTTCAAATCATCAAATTACGTAGAGTTTCCTCTTTGTGAGTAAAAAAGATCCTTTAAGAACAAAATGGCCCCAAAAGGTTTAACAAACACTGTAGTGTTTGTCCTTGCACTAATCAGCATCCTATTAATCGGCCAAACCAAAGCCCAAGGTCGGCCTGGTCCCCGGTTGCCTCCACCTCCACCACTACAACGGCCATCATCACCACCTCCGCCATTATTGGTGTGTCCACCATGTGTTTGTCCAATATTGTCACCACCTCCACCAAACACCCCACCTCCAACCCCTCAGAATTCTCCAATAACACCAATGGCTCCCCCACCGCAGACACCACCTAACATCCTACCACCAACGTTTTCACCAAACAATCTATCACCAACCACACCACCACAGACTATACCAATACGTCCTCCAACCACACAACCGCAGCCTCCATCAGTACTTCCAATCACACCACCGGAGACTCCTCCAATCTCACCACCACAGACTCCATCAGTAAGTCCTTCAACCACACCATCGCAGACTTCACCCCAAACATCTCCAACCATATCACCCCAGCTTCCTCCATCAAGCATCACGCCAACGCCAACGCCAACGGAGGAGATTCTACCAGTGCGTCCTTCAGTTCCACCATCACAGACTTCACCAGTACATTCTCCAATATTTTCACCTGAATCTCCATCAACATTACCTCCACAGATTCCATCAGTGCCTCTACCAATTACACCATCAGAAACTCCATCAACCATACCACCGCAGACACCACCACAGAGTCCACCCCAAACTCTGCCAACCACACCACCACAAACTCAACCAGCGCCTCCTCCAAACACACCACGACCTTCTTCTCCTCCTCTAAATTTCCAACCACCACCGCCCCCACCGCAGACTCCTCCGTCTCCTCCCCCAAACTCCCAACCACCAGTGCATTCTCCAATTTTTTCACCTAAAGCTCCATCAGTTTTACCACCACAGATTCCTTCGGTGCCTCTTCCAGTTACACCATCACAAGCTCCATCAACCATACCACCACAGACGCCGCCACAAAGTCCACCTCCAACTCCACCAACCACACCACCACAAACTCCACCAGTGAGTCCTCCGAACACACCACCACTTCCTTCTCCTCCTCTAAATTTCCAACCACCACCGCCCGCACCGCAGACTACTCCACCTCCTCCCCCAAACTCCCAACCACCACCACCCCCCACTTGTCCTAGAAATGCCTCGCAGTTAAGAGCATGTTCAAATACCATAAGACGTTTTGGTAACTTCCTAGACTTTGGAAGGGCACAACCATGCTGCTCTCTTATCCGAGATCTATCTGATGCTGAAGTAGCTGCGTGCCTATGTGGTTTGGTGCAACCCCAAAGTCAAAGATATTCCACTCCTTCTCGAAATATCTTTATCATTTGTAGGGCTTGTGGTCGCCCGATGCCTCGAGGTTTCATGTGCCCATAATCGTTACTATGTACCTTGCTAAAATCACCTATGCTTTAACGTACTCACTACTTTAGCTACAACTAAAGATTCGCGGCTTTTTTTTTACTTCCTATCAATACTAATGTAATAAAAATCAATAAACTCTCGGTTGACTTTTACATATATTGTTTGTTGTTCTGTTTCTAATCACACTATCTAAGCCACTGAAATTTATAATAACATGCATCATACATGTATCAATATGGGTAGTAATACAATCACTAATAAAAACTATTATATAACCTAGTCAGAATTTGTAGATATTGATCTAGTTAAGAACTTATCCGATACTATTGAAGCACAAAAACGTATAATGTTTACAGAATGCAAATTCATTCATTCAAAGTGTGAAAGCATTTTTTGAAAGTACCCTTTATACCACACTATTTTCGTTCACAGAAAGTGGTTGTTTGTAATTTAAGTTTCTCCCTTGTGAGGCTTGTAGAGAAACTTGAAGAATAGGAACTAGATGTGACCCCAGAGTAAGTATTAGGTCAGAGGAGAGGACGTGGTAGAGATGCTACAGGAGAAACGCATGATGGATTTGAAGAGGCTGGAAGCAATCTTGCTGAGAACGGATCCTTAGCTTGAGGAACTTCCTAGTAGTTGAGGACCCTCATCGCGTGTAAACTTCAGAAGCGCACTTAAGTTTAGCCAGTGATGAAACCAAGATCTCGCAAGCCCTATGAGCTAGCAGCGCGTATATTTGGGATTCAATTTTGTTCGAGTCACATTTTATTTGGATTGCATATCATGGTGCGAACATAAATATAACGAGGAAATTTTAGGAAATCTGTTTTTTAACAATTTGCATCGTTTCCGTGAAATCTAGTTGCATGCTATGATGATAGAATGTATTAATGAATTTGTGACACCCGTCACTTTGAAACTAATAATAATAAATAATAATACAATAATAAATAATATCTTTATTAAAAATATTAAAAAAAGTCAAAGTTCACGTCGAAAAATCAAGTAATTAGAATAATTTCTGAAATATCGATAATAACATAAACGATAAAATTTCAATAGCGGGAAGGCCCATTAACGATAAAAGCCCAAACGTACAAACTTGTGAAATTCGAAAGATACGAGACGTAAAAGCCCAATAACCCAAAAGCACCGATCCGTTATAATTACTCCTGCTCATCGGTCTCACCTGAAAGGGGGAAGAAAGGAGGGGTGAGCAACAGGGGAGTCGCTCAGTGAGGTAAGGGATGCTAAACCTCAAACCACTGACTCAGTAC